TTAGGCGTTTTACCATAGACTTTTTTCACATGAGCATAATGTTCGCGTGAAATTAGCATTTGCTTCTCAATGCATTTCCCGGCACAAATTCCTTGTCACGCCACATAAGAATGATGCATAGGCTTGCGAGAATCAACCACTCCCTTCTTCCCTGGCACAGGCAATGTTTCAGTGGCGAAAGGTGTTCCAGCCCATTACTAAAGGCAGATGCACCTGGGACAATCAAAGGCACGATGCAGCTTATCACTGCTCACAGCGACCACAGGCATGCTTTACCGTATGACTCCCAGGAGCTTATTTTCACACACCTGGGAAATTCCATCAACATAGCACCAGGCCAGAGAAAACGAACACCCAATTTTATCTCTGGGTGCATTCTCGAGGGAATATGACCCTAGTTGTAGAGAATAAGGTTTTGCATAACACAACCTTGATAACCTTGATAAGAAATTACAGAGCTACTGACACCACAACAAAGCAGGATTTATATTGTTTGGACGTTCTCTGGTCATAGACATAACATAGAAAGAGTCATTCAGTGGTGGTTTAGAATGCAAGGTGTCAAACTGTTTTCCTAATGGCAGACACTGATGAATAAGGATAAGACTAGATATAGCTCTGGGATTGCTAGTTTCCATTAAGGCGGGGGGTCGGCTTGGTTGCACCTAGGATGCATTATGCCCACTATATCACTATAGTTAAGTTGATAACCACCGATCAGACAACTAGTCAACTTCACTGTAGCCTCCATAACATGACATTTTAGAAAACAACACAGGATTGATGACCTCACATTTAACTGCCTAGTTCCTAATATAGCTGACAGAATGTCATGGTGGGTAAAAGCTAATTAATCTGTCCTGTTACATTAATAGGCACAAATGTTTGAGGAGAATGGCTGAAGATTGTGATACGATCTATATTATTCATTCTGCATTATACAGCTGACTTTACACCATGAACCTTTCATGCAAATTTAGTTGCTTGAAGCCTACATGAAACTAAATTGCATGTAAATTAGTCTCAACTCTGTGGAACAAGATTCATTAAACAGCCAGTCAAAATGCTGATAATCACATGATCATGTCACACATCATTTCAAAGTATTTTTTTCCAAGAACAAGAGGAAACAAAAGAAGCTGGTGTACTAGTATATGACTGAAAATGAGATTCTCCTGAAAGACTTTCTGCAAGGTTGATAGTTTTTCATTTAGTCCATTTTCTGAGCCATGACAGCAAACAAGTTTCTTAAAGCTTCTAAAACGTTTCTGGAACCAGCTGATTTAACTAGCCAGTGTTAACAGCTGTTCAAATGACTGCTTATGCCAGCATTTATTCTTCTTTACTCATCTCCTGTTATGATGATCTATATAGCTACATTTGTTTTCTGAGTGGACATTCCTTTAGGAATCAAAGGATGAGAATTCCTACAGTAGCTGAAAATTCAAGGAACTTGTAGTGCTTCTAGGACAGGGTGAGAGAATCAAGTGGCTACCTAAACATTAATCTTTAAAGGTTTAAAGGACCATCCACAGATATATACATTAAAAAATTAATTGACTGGTTTTGAAATGCTTTATGTAAATCTCAAACTGCATGGAAATAACATGCATCTAGTTGCATGAAGTTTCACTGTGTGAAGCCAGCCTAAGAATGCAAAATGGATTATGTTTTGTAACATTTTTCTTTGGCATCAGTGGACTTCGAGGAGTCAGAAAACTGGAGGTCTGGCTATGCACCCTGGACACAGTCTGCATCTACACAGGGGTGTAACAATACACTTCTGATGTAAAGACAAGCATTTTTTAGAATTTATGACATAATTTACCTAGAATTAACATCCTCCCACCTCCACTTTACTCTGATAGGATGCACACAGATGGCTAGTTTTTATCACTGACAATGCTTTCCATGAAGGCCAGCAAGTAACAGACTCTCAGATGAAATGGAGTGGCATATTAGCAACATGGTTTTAGTTATCAATACTTTGTTTCTAATCTTTTTGAAAAATCATCACACTTATGTCAGCATTAGAAATGGTAAAGGGAAAGACAGCAGTGCTCTAGCATGCGGTCACAGATTACTCACTGAAAAGGCCAGTTCTAGGTATCAAAACATCAGGTTAATATGTCTCACATTTCTAGAAAGATGAAGAAAAAGTCAGACATCAACAATCTTCCTTCCAAAGATTCTTCTCTTCATCCTTATACTTACACATTAAGCACAGAGTGTAAGCTACATTTTTGTTTCTTAGCTGCTACTACTAATCCACTCAGTTGTTACAGAACCAGTCAGTGAATGCAAAAAAAGTGCGTCATCTTCTCAAAGTAAGGTCTCCATGGTTGAACCATGGGAACAAATCAATGGAAGTATGCAGCTGCCTTTCACTTCTGAGGCTGGGATCTGTGCTTGTGTGAACAATAGGCCATCATCACAGCAAAGCAGAGAAAGTAAACACCAGAGAATTGCTGGTGGATGACGCGCTCTGTTACAAATCACCAGTCACAGCAAACATCTTAGCCTGGAGGTATCTAAGGTGAGGGTCAAACCTTTGACCTACTTAACAACACCGCTCTGGCCTCTAGACCGAACTGGTATTGCTTACTATAATGCCATTAGGAATGGGCTGGACAAGCATGATGGCCATGCTGCACCTCTATTTGCTATTCACTATTCACTAGACTCACTGTGAAAGTCTCACAGAGTGAATAACAAGAATCTTAAAACAGGCAAGAGTCCCTTTAGAGCAGTATGGGGACAATGGAAAAGAAGTGCTTGAGCTGAGCATCCAGCGTCTGTCAAATCGCTCTGCCCTTGAGGCAGTGATGGAGCATCAAGATAAACAGTCGTCCACAGAAAAGCATGTCTGATCTCACAAGCGCTCTTCATTGCTGTTAATCAGTTTAACATCATACTCCTGACAATGAGTGACAAGCACAACCTGCACACTCAGCTAAGGAATGCACCTCCAAACCTGATATCTCTGGTTGAGAAGTCAACAGGGGCCAAGTCGACCAGCACAAACATTCTGAAGTCTTCCCACACCCCTACCCCCCCGCTCACTCATCCTTAGGTAGTCAAAACAGAATCTGTTTTCAGTAAGACAATGGGAAATGGTTGCCTGGTCCTCTTTTAAATAATTCATCTGGCTCCAGTACCAGCTATCTGAGCAGCAGTGGGAACATAACCAGGCTCTGTAAAAGAAATCACTATTGCACAATAGCCCCAGATGATATCTACGCATTGTTAAGAGCTTTAAAGTGGTATACCTGGAGATGGAAACTGAGAAATATGCTTTGCTATTTTTGACTGAAACTGAAAATACTACAGGAGAAATCATTAGAAACAGTCTGAGGACAAAAGCAGCAGTGACTTTACTTTAACCAATGAACAACAAAAGGCTAAAATGTCTACTCCATCTTTATTTGTGCATATTATGGTGACACTTTATTTAAAAGATTTCATAATATGTGCATGAGCACTGACCTATTTGCAAAGCAATACTTGAAGATTTATAGACAGTTGTTACCAATAACTGTAATATGTTTTATGAAGTAAATGACAAAGGGACCTTAAACTAAAGCAAAATACATTTTTTTCCCCTATTTGTAACACTTTTATAAGCATGATTACCAAGGAATTGATCGTCTAAGACAAAAGTTTAGTTAAGAGATCCCTATATGTCAATACAAAGTCACTGAATTCATAGATCATAGTATATCCTCTTGCAAATATTCAATTGCAATATTGCCTTATAAATATGATATTCAATGTTCATGCATATATTATGAAGTCTCCATGTAGTAGATCTCAAATGCAAAGTGTTAGCATAATCGCACTGCTACTGGACAGGCCCAGGGATGGACTGGTTATCGGGAGGAGCAGAACAAGGCCACCCCAAAACAAAGTGTAATTACAACAGCTGGGAAAGGTAAACTGTGGGAGCTAGCTAGAGAGACAGAGTGTGTTGGAGAAAACAGCTAAACAACATGCAGAAAAATGCATGAAACTACATGATTTGTTTGGATATAAGAGTGAGGAACTGCAGGTTACTGCACCATTTCACAGGGCTGACATTATCAGGTTTGTTTTATTTATGAAATAGTATGGCAATATTACAGCAACATTTGTTCCATCTTATTAATATATTTGGATCAGCCATGTCTTAGTCTTAAACGTCTTAATATGTCTTACTGTCAGTTCATGCCCTTACTGGAAACTGTTACTATTACGTAATGACATTTTAACTATAATTGAAATATAAAAGAACTAAAAAAAATGGAAAATGAGTTACTCATCACAGATGTCGACTGTGACTGAGAACAGACATTAAGAAGTCCCACATGAGAGCAGTTCATATAAATACGTTGCAGCACAAACAGAAAACTCAAAAGGCCCTAGAACGGCCCCTAGCGGAGACACGCAGAAGTGCAGACGGGGTTTAATGAGCATCCTTCAGCGTGCAGAGGAAAACAGCCTTGAGCAGCACTGAAAACTCTTATAAAATTAACAAACAGAACTGCTGAACACGTCAACTGTCAGTTCACCAGCTTTTCTTGAAAAACTTCAATAGGCTACTTCATCTCCGGGAATCAAAGCCCGATAAAAGCTTTGGTGATTAAAATCAGTAACCATGCTCTGATCGGATAGGAAGTGAAAGTCTCAAAAAGCAGCGCGATTATGGCTAATCATAAGCAAGTGACCGGAAGCAGTGGTCGCTAACATCACAGGAATGTTTATGGAATTTGGTGGCTGGAATGTGGCGCGTTTTCTATCCCACCTGTATTGCGACGAGCGCCGCCTTCAGCGACTGGATCGGTGAGCCGGAATGCGGGTGGGGAAATGAATAAACGCGCTCATGCCTGGAGAGTCCGCGCTGTGACGTCAAGACAAACCCCTCCCCCTTTTCCCTTCCAGCAAGGGATTGGATGAGACGCGCTCCTCAGGAATGTGATGAAACCGTTTAAATAGCACTTTGTCCTCTCCTTAGTAATAGATTCTAGCTGCTTTAACAGGCGCGAACGGGGCCGAATAGGCGCCTTAATAAAAACGGGTGGACAGGGATCCTAACGCATCATCGGAATTACTGCCTTTTTCTGGATTTACTATTTTTAAATTCATGTAAAGTCAGTCATTCATTTTAGACCGTATACATTGATCATTTTTAAGTAGGAAACAGGTAGGAGCCAGTCTTTGGTTTCTTTTTATGCATTGGAAGTCAGCAATTTTAGCTTTTAAAGCTTTTATTCATTATTTTATTCATTACTTTTAGCTTCTTCATTAAAGCTTTTAACCAGCAGTGTAAAGTTATGGACATGTTATTTTTTTGCAGGCACAAGGAAAAAAAACTCGGAAATGAAGTTAACAGGAATATTTTTGTTAGTGATGCTGTGGAGCTGCGAGGGCGCCAGAGTGGCAGGTGAGAGATTGGAAACATATCCTGAGAAAAACCATGACCTTCCTACTTTGCAAGCAAGATCTGCCTAGTTATTAATTATTAATAAATAAATACCAACCTGCATGCTCTTAATAAACCACGCTGCATAGACCCACCAATACCATGAGTGCTGGAAGCTGCAGTCACGTATCTTCTGTCCACAGAGAGCAGAGATGACAACAGCGTCTACGACCTGTTCGAGCTCGTGCAGGTGCCGAAGAAGAACCACGGCGTGACCATGGTGAAAGGAGACGACCCCTACAGTCCCGCCTACAAAATCCTGAACCCCGACCTGATCCCCCCGGTGCCCGAGAGCGCCTTCAGGGACCTCATGTACTCCGTTCAGGCGGAGAGGGGCTTCCTGCTGCTGGTCAACTTCAAGCAGTTCAGGCGCACCAGAGGCGCGCTGCTGACCGTGGAGAAGCTCGACGGCTCCGGGCCCGTCTTCGAGATCATCTCCAACGGCAAGGCGAACACGCTGGACGTGGTCTTCTCCACCGAGAACAAGCAGCAGGTGGTGTCCATCGAGGACGCGGACCTGGCCACGGGCCACTGGAAGAACATCACGCTCTTCGTGCAGGACGACCGCGTTCACTTCTATGTGGGATGCGAGGAGATCAACATCGCCGAGCTGGACGCGTCCATCCAGAACATCCTGACCCCCGACACCCCGGGGGTGGCGAATCTGAGGATCGGCAAGGGGGCGGTGAACGACAAGTTTATGGTGGGTGTCCAAAATCTTACAAGTGTTTACCTGCGAACCGACGATATGTCGACATTAACTGCAGAGTTGCAAGCGTAGTTTATGGTGAGGTAACAAAGTGTTATATGATGGCTCTGAATGGAAATGAGTGGCAAAATAAAACATTTATTTCTTTATTTATTTCAAATAACATTGCATTGTAGTGAGCTGTATCATGCTGGCTTTTTCCCCTCATTTGAGTTATCTTTCTTTTGTTATTTTTGGCAGGGTGTGCTCCAAAACGTGCGATTTGTTTTTGGGACAACGCTGGAAGCAATTTTGCGGAATAAAGGATGTCAAAGCTGTGAGTGTTAATGCACTTTATATTCATATAACTGACTGTCGATGTTTTTATATGACAGCGTTGCCTTGAAATGAATCAGCAGGTAGGAAAAAACAGTACTCGAGCAAAAACTGACTGAACAGCATAACAGCACTGCTAAAATGAACCTGGATAAGAATTTAGCCAAGTAAAATGTATTCGCTTTACAATTTTGACAGTTCAGTAGAGCTCATAGATCATTTATGCTCTCTTTTCTTTGAGTAAAACCTATAAAGTTCAGAAAAGTTACAAATTCATATAAATGCTGACCCCAGACTTTGAAGAAATTGCCCACCTCTGTTCCATTCTTATTTTAAGGAAAACTGGTTTGTGTTGATTTGGAGGTGCTACAGTGTAGTTTTCTGCATATAATATTTAGATCCTCAAAATCTAAAAGGGCACTTTATGAGACATGCATTACACTGGGTTGTAGCCTCATGCAAAACTGTTCATAGGATCTTAGTATACATTAATGTCTGAGTTAGGTAACATTTATACCTGCCTGTTACAGCAATCATGACTGACACGATCACCCTGGACAATCCCGTGAATGGATCCAGGCCAGCCATCAGGACCGACTACACTGGCCACAAGACAAAAGGTAAGATGGAAACTCTTATTCCTGGCAAAGTCTGCAGGTCAGTGAAAAACATCATTTACAGGCATGGAAATGTATCTCTATCCCTGTGGCTACAACTGCACTTTTCCCCTCATAACAGATCTACAGATGATTTGTGGCTTTTCCTGTGACGACTTAGCTAGCATGTTTAAGGAACTAAAGGGTCTTGGTGTGGTGGTGCAAGAGCTGTCCAACGAGCTTCGTAAAGTGGTGAGAAGGGTTTTTCCCCTGTTTATAGACACTTTTTCTAATATTTTATATTTTGCAGACTAATAAAGCTCAGATGAAGTCTTGCATGTAGTGTTAACTTGTAATATGAACGTGAATGTACTGCTGTTCGTTTCCTAGACAGATGACAACAATCTGCTCAAGAAACAGATGGGAATTTATGGTGGTGTCTGTCTCCACAATGGCATTGTGCATAAGGACAAGGAGGAATGGACAGTGGACGACTGCACTGAGTGCACTTGCCAAGTAAGTGCACCTTTTTGGAGTGTGCTTTGCAAACAGCCTCTTAAATTTAAAGTGCAATAGGCTTTGTCATTAAGTCAATAATTTGTGAGAGAGAGGGCAGCCATGCTATGATTTACTGCCTTTAGCCTTGTCTACTGTTGTGTCTGGCTCTCTGAAGCACCATGTCTCTAATTAAGATTAGGAAGTCGGGGGTGGTGGGGAGAGGTTGTACTCAACAGGCACTATGACAAATGACCACAACCTAGAACAATAAAAGTGACTGAAGTCGACAGTCTAGCCACTTAATTTTTTCTGGCATACTCCACAAACTTGAACAGCTTATCAACACCCAGGGATATTCCCAAGCTTAATTAGAGAGTTTAACAAGGACATGTTGCTAAACTTGCTTCCTGGATATTTTGGCAGACAGTAGTTTTGTGTTTGCTGTTTCAAAGATTAGTCTAAACCTCTTTGTAGTTCCTGTGTTTGGCCATTTGCCACCTAACTTATGACCTAGAGTGCTAGAGAGGGCTTCTGTTAGCCCCCTATGACTAATGAGGTGTGGATGGTAATTACAGAACTCAGCGACAGTGTGTCGTAAGATCTCCTGTCCCCTGATTCCCTGTGCCAATGCAACTGTGCCTGATGGTGAATGCTGCCCCCGGTGTGGAACTCGTAAGTACAGTTCAATAACCATAGACTGATTGATTTCCAGTATTTCGCCTTATTTATTTACATATAGGCTTATTTTAAAAGTGACTGGTAAACATACCTTTGTGACAAATGAAAATCTAAGTGTAGCTAAAGGTAAAGATTTGTGTACCCCTTAATTTCTAAAATGCCGTAATGGCCATATTTGGCTAAATTGGTTAAAGGTGGAAAATTGGTGCTCCTCGGCAAACACTCAAAAAAGTAAAAATAACATTTTCTCCCTACTACAAGGGATGGGCACACATTCCTAGAACTTAAATAAATACGGAAAACTGCATTCATCTCAACCTCAGCAGTTTGAAATCATGACATCAAGTGTATTTGCAAATTCCACTTCCCGTTTTGGAAAAATCATCAAAGGGGATCCCTGTGCATTTTAGCACACTGCCTTTTCCCTGGCACTGTGACTGTTTGGTTCATGCCAGGGTTCCCTGGATTGGTCCGTCTCAAGCAGCCCAGGCTAAATCGAGTCCATTAGGGCTCTGCATTAAAAGCTTTTCTCCTCTTTTGCTGCTTTAGAAAAAGGGAATAGCTCTTCTATTGTATCCCTCTCCTCTCCCCCAACAGCGAGCGACTCTGCCGAGGATGGCTGGTCCCCCTGGTCTGAATGGACCCATTGTTCTGTGTCTTGTGGAAGGGGCATTCAGCAGCGTGGCCGCTCCTGCGACCGCATCAATAACAACTGCGAGGGCACGTCTGTGCAGACCAGAGACTGCTACCTCCAGGAGTGCGACAAGCGCTGTAAGTGCTCCACCAACACAAGCTCTCTGCTTATTCATTCATTGACTGGTGGAAAAAAAAAAAAAAACATGCTTTAACGTGAATCTCATTCATCTCTCCCAGTCAAGCAAGATGGCAATTGGAGCCACTGGTCACCATGGTCCTCTTGCTCAGTTACTTGTGGATCTGGCGTCATCACACGCATTCGTCTCTGCAACTCTCCTACACCACAGCTGGGAGGAAAAGACTGCCAGGGTCAAGGCAGGCAGACTGAGAAGTGTGAGAAGTCACCATGTCCAAGTAAGTGTGCTTAACACACAAGGGTGCAAACGCAGTGGTGAGCAATTTAAGGAAGCAAATAGCCACAGCAAGTTTATATCCATATGTAATAACGGTCTCCCTGTTTGTTCAGTCAATGGTGGCTGGGGACCATGGTCGCCCTGGGATGCCTGCTCGGCTACCTGCGGAGGAGGCGTCCAGAACCGCAAACGCCTTTGCAATGATCCGCCACCCAAGCATGGAGGCAAAGACTGTGTGGGAGATGCAACAGTAACTCAACTCTGCAATAAGCAGGCCTGCCCTATTGGTGGGTCATCATGTCATTCACGTACATAGATTAAGCATCTATTCAGACATGATTATTTCCTGAATACAATGCTCTTTTTTGTTAGATGGATGTCTGTCCAATCCTTGCTTTGCTGGAACCCAGTGCACGAGCTTCCCAGATGGTTCATGGAAGTGTGGAAAATGTCCAGCAGGTTACACTGGCAATGGCATCAACTGCAAGGATATTAATGAGGTGAAAAACATTATTCTGTCATCTTCTTGTAATGCCAAACAAATGAGGTCCGTTTAGAAAAACTAATTAGAGTGTTATCTCCTCTTGACAGTGCAAGGAGGTTCCTGATGCTTGCTTTGAGTTCAATGGAGTCCACAGGTGTGAAAATACAGAACCTGGGTACAACTGCCTGCCTTGTCCTCCTCGCTACAGTGGCCCACAGCCATTTGGCCGTGGAGTGGAGGAAGCTGCTGCAAAGAAACAGGTAAGCAACTAAAATTAGCACTGTAGAAAGACAAGAAAGTATAAGATAGAATGTATTTTGGCGTAACGTAACCCTTTGATTGTTTCTTTTTTGCAGGTGTGCACACCTCGTAACCCCTGTCTTGATGGAACTCATGACTGCAATAAGAATGCCCGGTGCAACTACCTGGGACATTTTGCAGATCCAATGTACCGCTGTGAGTGCAAGCCTGGCTATGCTGGGAATGGATACATCTGTGGAGAAGACACTGATTTGGATGGCTGGCCTAATGCTGACCTTGTGTGTGTGGAGAATGCCACCTATCACTGCAAGAAGGTTTGAGAAAAAATCTGTCAAAACATTTACACAAAACATAAATATCCTACCTTAGGCCATTACTGACCACTTATGCATTTCTATAACTGTAGGACAACTGCCCGAACCTTCCAAACTCAGGCCAGGAGGACTATGACAAGGATGGAATTGGTGATGCTTGTGATGATGATGATGACGACGATGGCATTCCTGATGACAGGGTAAATTACTTTTACATTGAGATTTTAATGTTACAAAGGCTAAAATATAAGCAGTTCTTGAGTTATATTGCATGGAAACCCACATATATTACATTTCTACGATTCTGTTCAAGTCTGGGCTCCACACATCTTGAGTGACTTTGCATTAATCACTCAAGCAAAGATGAAAAGAAATGCTGTAGAAAGCAAACTGTAATTGTCCCAGAGCCAAACCGCAAATTCCAACACTGAGGTACCACTCTGAAAGGCACACAGTGTATCCTGCTAATTCCAACATTACATTTGGTCTTGGTCCTAAAATAAGGCTCACTTTTATGCTTGCACTCCTCTAAATAGACCTGTACGACCACAGCCAAATTACAAGCCTACCATCAAAAAGTAAAAACCTCCTTGTGATGTTTTTAGGGAGCGGCAAGAGCTTTATCATTTCTCCATACTGTGCCCTCTTTTCAAACAGGACAACTGCCCATTCATCTTCAATCCCAGACAGTACGACTATGATCGCGATGAGGTCGGAGATCGTTGCGACAACTGTCCATACAACAGCAACCCTGACCAGACTGACACGGACAGCAATGGCGAAGGCGATGCATGTGCCGTGGACATTGACGGAGATGGTAAGAAAGCTGCAATGCTTGCCAAATTATAATGGGCAGTGTCTTTTAAGAACGGCATTACAAAAAAAAAGCCAAGTCAATTAATGTTGATCTGTCTTTTCAGGTATTCTGAATGAGAGGGACAACTGTCCTTATCTGTACAATGTGGATCAAAGGGATACGGATCTGGATGGGGTTGGTGACCAGTGTGATAACTGCCCTCTTGAGCATAATCCTGACCAGGTATGTATCAGAGAGAGAGAGAGAGAGAGAAGAGAAAGACACACACTACTGCAGGTGTTTTAGTCTGTAATCCACATAGATCCATCTGTTGTTCAACTCGGCCTCAACCCTTTGTTATGTGAAAGGCCCAAGAGGTAGTTGCAGGGAAGCAAGATTTTTATCACGCTATGTAAGGGTGGAGTAAATCCTCTTCACCTTGGGGGCATACCGCCATACAATAACGCAAAGGGAGCCTTTTCAAGGGCACTCACTGGCTCTCAACAAGCCCAAAGGGAATGAGGGGGGGGCAGTTATTAGTGAGGAATGGATTTGCTGGTGGGTTTATGCATGCCCTGTCGGCACTCAATCCCTGTGGATCACACCTGTGCCATGGTTAACTGAGGAGGAGGAATGCATGTCTCTGGAACAACAGGACTCAGTTAAGGGGAAAATGGGTGAAATTGACCCACCCCCTTCCACCCCTCCTTCTCACCAGAGGAGCAGAAATAGGAGAGTGGTGTGCCAAGTTTCACGGACAACTGCAATGGGCCCAGCAGGATAGGGGTTGTAGCTTATCAGATGAAAAGTAAACATAGATTTAAGGATATCAGAGTCTTAGGAAAGCGTGTGATAAAACTTATTTACACAAGACACTTTTGTATCTGTTAATGTTAATACTTTTTCATCGCACCCCATTCAACAGCTCGACACAGACTCTGACCGTGTGGGAGATAAGTGCGACAGCAACCAGGACATAGACGAAGATGGCCATCAAAACAACCTGGACAACTGCCCTTACATTCCCAATGCCAACCAGGCTGATCATGACAAGGATGGCAAAGGAGACGCTTGCGATTATGATGATGATAATGATGGCATTCCTGATGATAAAGACAACTGCAGACTGGCTTTCAACCCAGATCAGTTGGACACTGATGGTTAGTGGAGTGAATTTAAATGCAACCTCTTTATGGAACAGGCAGTGTCCTCTATGCTCTACTGTTTTGTCTTAACTCCGATGAGTGTAATTAATAATATGCTGCTATATAATTACTTTATCTAATGCATTTCTACAAATTCCCTTATTCTACGTTTAGGTGACGGACGTGGTGATGCTTGTAAGGATGACTTTGACCAGGACAATGTTCCAGACATCTATGATGTGTGCCCAGAGAACTTTGACATCAGTGAGACAGACTTCCGCAAGTTCCAGATGGTGCCTCTGGACCCCAAGGGCACATCTCAGATTGATCCCAACTGGGTTGTCCGTCATCAAGGCAAAGAGTTGGTTCAGACAGTTAACTGTGACCCTGGCATTGCCGTTGGTATGTCAACATCTTTTTTGAAGAGCAATGTTAAAACAGAACGACTGTTTAAAAACACAATGGAGCTAATCATTCTAACCATTTTTTTTTGTTCTCAAGGTTTTGATGAGTTCAATGCAGTGGACTTCAGCGGGACCTTCTTCATTAACACAGAGCGAGATGACGACTATGCTGGATTTGTGTTTGGTTACCAGTCCAGCTCTCGCTTTTATGTGGTGATGTGGAAGCAGATTACTCAGACCTACTGGTCCAGCACACCCACCAAGGCACAGGGCTATTCAGGGTTGTCCATCAAAGTAGTCAATTCCACCACTGGACCAGGTGAACACCTAAGGAACGCTCTCTGGCACACTGGGGATACTCCAGGACAGGTAGCTCCAAAAACAAATTCAACATGGTGGCATCTCTAAGATCTGTTCTTGTCTTTCGGTGGCATAAAATGGGTTTTTGTTTATTTCCTCTGTAGGTGCGCACTCTCTGGCATGACCCCAAGAATGTTGGTTGGAAGGATTTTACTGCTTATAGATGGCATCTGACTCACAGGCCAAGAACAGGACACATAAGGTATTGTTTAAGGGATAACAAAATCAAACAGTCCAACCTCAACAGTATTTACTATATTTCAGTGTGCTAACAGTATTTTTGCTTCTTTTGACAACTGTAGAGTTGTCATGTATGAAGGAAAGAAGATCATGGCAGATTCTGGAAGAATCTATGACAAAACTTACGCAGGTGGACGACTAGGTCTCTTTGTCTTCTCACAAGAGATGGTATACTTCTCAGACCTCAAATATGAATGCAGAGGTATGGTTCAGTATATTACATAACTTTACAGCATTTCATTCACAGTTCCAAAGACAAGATATTTATTTGACTTTTCCTCCCCCACAGATGTATAACTGCACAAGCAGAAGAATCTTGGAAAAACGCACCTTTCTGTATAAACAAGAATATGTATACCGTGCAAAGTCCAGGGACAAATTTTTCGCTACTTTTTCCTTCTGTGGCACGCACTCTGGTGGGGCAGAAAAATCACGTGGTCAGTTTTAAGGTAACCGATGCTGGTTTGAACAGAGCCCAGCTGACTGCCCACGGAGAATCAGGACCCCTCCACCAAGAGCAGGTAGAGCAGAAAAAAGCCCCCATCGCTTTGCTTGATCGGAAAGACTGATCTCTCTCTGAAAAACCTCATTCAGATCTGTGTGGGAAGGGCTCCCTGCAGACAACTATGCACTTCACAATCCTCTCTCTCTCTTTTCTCTCTGAATGGATATTCAAAGATGGGGCCAATTCCGAGACCTTAATCCTCTGAAATCAAAACTAAACAGAATAATGAGGCTTTAACACATTGAGGCAAATTACCAACTGGAACGTCTTGGTTCTACCACAATATTCATGTGTTTCCATGTAGTTAAAACAAATCTGAAAATACAAAAACAAGTATTTGACTATGGAGAAAACAAATATATTGTTTCAATTCAACTTTGATAAATAGATTTTTATCTACATATCAAAACAAATGCATTTCTTCCCTTCTAGGGACGATATCTATTTTTTCCCTAGTTATTCGAACACAAGACAAGTAGGTCTGCTAATAAAGTTGAGCCAGATAATTGCAAATTATTTGGCAGACTCTGAAAGAAAGTTTTAGGTTACTCCCATTTATGGGTGGTGGGATGTGAACAACTAGGTAAGTTGTGGGCATAGTTTCCTCAGGGTGAGATGGGTTATACCATCTTAACAAATATTTCAGTTAACGTATACTCTTAAAAAAGGTGCCAAAAAGCGTTCTTTGTGTAAAAAGAACCTTTTTAAAGGTTTAAAGAACCTACAGATAGTGAAGACACACCATAATGTTTAATCATGACAGATTATACCCACAATACTTGTAACACGTCACTTATATTGCTGGACATAATCTGTCATGACATGACATGTTTATGGGATGGTTATGTCAATGGGCCTCATTCAACAATGTCTTCCAAAGGTTTTTCTTAAATTTGTTCTTGAATAAAGTCCTAAGAAAAAGTCTACATTAGATTCATCACATAGATTCTCCTCTATCCCAAATAAGAAAACACTGGCGAATGTCAGAATCATTGTGAAAACTGCATAAGTGGATTTTAAACAGAAATTTCTCAAGAACGGTTGGTGAACGAGGCCCATTTTCATGTAACAACGTTTAAGAAAAAGTTACCATGAAGGTTCTATACCAATTTAAGGGTTCTTCCTAGAAACTTTACATTATGTGGAGGTTATGTAAACTCTGAAAAGGTTTTTCACACTGACACAAAATGGTTCTCTAAAGAACCATCCATTGAAAGCTTCTTGAGGGAACCAAAAGTAGTTGTTCTATGGCATGGCTACAACAAAGAACCCTTTTATTGGTACCGTTATTTTTAAGTGTAGTGGAAGGCTATGTTGAAGAGGGCTTGGACAGAGCCGGGTTCAGAAGTCAGTGTGGAGTGATTAAACTTTGGTTTTCATAGTCCTGAGAGGTGAAATGAAAGACTTCTTTACAAAAGGCTGATTCACTTAAAAGCACTTGCAAAATTCCAGTTGAAACTGGATTGATTGGACCATGGATTCTGTGCAACTTCTGTATTTAATAGCAATAGATAGCAGTAAGGGTTTTTTGGGGAACACCCTAATTTTGTACATAATCTTATTTATCATCTATAATAGAATAATATCTAACAGCAAATTCTCTCTAAAAACATGCACAGTGTCACTGGTCATGGATATCACAAAGGCTCTGCCCAAAGCACTCCACTACACCCTTCCCTAGCATTTTAATAGATCACTTATAGGGGAGGAGTTCAGAACAGTGTGTTTGACCTGTGTGCCTTTTCTGTAGAGAGTTAAAGGAATACAATGTACAAATATTACCTCAATACTGTTGTATAATTTGATCAATACAAAATATTTTCATAATGTTAAAGAAAGCAAATTGGTTACCTACATACTGCTACTGTAGCACAAGCTGTAAATAGTATTTCTTTCTCAAGAAGCACCCTGCCTTCAACCCTTATGGTAAATAGAGCAAGATGGGAGTTTTTTTTATGCTAGTGCTTCAAGTGTCCAGTACTTTTTTTAAAACAGATAAATTATTGTGCTGTTTGTTGTCTGTAAGACTATGTTTCAAATGAGAAAGTGTGTATGTGTGCGCATGTGTGTATGCATGTGTGTGTGAGTGTGCGTGTGTAGATAAGTGCTATTTAAATAATTTATCAGGAAATGCAGCCTCAGGAGGCATTTCCATCTGTATAAACGGTTTGCACACTGACGTGAGGATGTTTTGCTCTTTATTGTTTTTACTTTTTTGTCCTTATTATTTTTGTACAATTAGTGATGCTTGTCTGTAAACATTTTACTTAGTTGTATGATGCAAAATGCTATTTTTTATTCATAGCAATTATTTTGGTACATATTTCAGAACAATAAAAACTGTTAAACCTTGTGACATGTTCAGATGTCTCCATCTTTTTATACAGCAGGCATAGTTAGAATCATGCATGCGCAACATGTTGCCAGGCTAACATATCCATTTACTTGCATTGCTAGCACTCATTAGCCAAAAATAACAATACAAAAACATCTGGGCACCACCATGACAAAATGTTGGGCTAAATGTGGGTGGGAACGCAGACCTATTAAGAACAAAAACTAACATCTGAAAGATTGGGCAATGCTGTCAATATTGTCTCATGGACAACAAGCCTGCTGTTAGTCCATGGATGTAATATGAGGTCGGCATGGCAGAAAAGTCCCTAAAAACTCCAATTAAGTAGGTATGTGTAGAAAAAATACATTACATGCGGTAAAAAATAAACATTACCTCATCAAGTTGTAAACAGCTGGCTAAGCTTAGTTAACTAAACTTTTATCATGTTTATGTGATGTGGCTTCATGGAATCAATTATGTGCACTGAACACACACCTCTGACAAAACTAAATGTTCCTGAAACATTTATATTGAAGAATGAATGTTAAGTAACGACAGCATTTTGCTACCTAGCTTATTTTGCTTGTGTTCTTGATTGTACTCTGGATATATTGGAGGCATGTTTTAGAAGCAGTGTACACTTCTTCACTCAAAAACCAAATACATAAAACACTTTCCATTTAAGATGCAGCACAAAAAAGGAAATGGCAGTAAAAGCCAGTGTTACACCAAAGCTGATGAGGTATTTCTAGTGAAGAACATTCACTTTTGACCCTCCCATTACTTACATACATATCCTTCTTTTTGAGTGTTGTGTGGAATGTTCCACCAAGGCCTCATCCTATGCTCCAACTAGCAACCCCCTACTGACCTTAGTGCACTCTGAGCCTCCCTGAACCCCTGTGTGGCATTCTGGGTTTACTCAACCCAGATCTCAGCGATTCAGTGCTGCTCGCAGGTCCACATATGTTAGGGTAAACATAGACATATTACCTTGGCCAAGGAAGCAGCAGACCTCAGATACTTGGGAAATCTCAAGGCAAGGCCAAAATCAAGAATAGGATTACTAAATTGGCTAATTCTGAGGATGTACTTGGCAGGAGGGACTAGTAACAGCACGGTACATGACGGGAACATCAAAACAGTTGCTGTGGTCCAAATTTCTGTAATTCAATCTCCATTAAGAGAATTTCATGTAAAGTCTTATCACTTGACATATCTTGAGGACACAATTTAACAAACATATTTTCTCCACAAATACCAAACTATACATTTGATCAGGCTTCACTAAATTTGGTTGGAACCAAGTTGTAGTCCTAAACATTTTCCCGGAGGTGTTTGTCATTCAGTATATCGAGGATCCTTCCATGGAAACACATTGACATCTGGTTAATGAGTTTCTTTTCCAGTGAGAGCTTCTGCCAACACCAATCTGCTTTACTGTTAAGTTAGCACAGGGCACACATATACCATAATAGGTAGTGTTTTTGCTAGTTCTCAAAATCTTCATACTTGTACGTGAAATTAGCTTCTTGTGTGCATTTCTCCAAGTCGCACTCATATTGTTTTTGAATAAAACCATATTTCCTGTATTCTACAACATTCCACATGCTGACTGCTTATGGTGGTCATGCCCTCTAAGAGACTGAATAAGACTACCATGTTATACATGAATAGTAGCTATAATTTCATGAGGCCCAAGGCACAGTCTGGTTATATTTCAGTCTTGAGGTCACTTTGATGGGTTTAAAACAGACTGTAAAAACATTAACACCATAATGTTACACATGCAGCTTAACTTATTTCCATATTTGACCATTTATTTTTTGACCTTGGTGAATACACTGTAATACAGGCATAACCACGACTCACGAAACACAATTGACATAGTTTTCTGTTAAAATTAAAACACACACACACACACAAAAAAATTATATATATAAAAATAATAATTATATAATATATAGTAATATATTAATATAATAATAATATATAATAATTATATAGAAATAATAAATACTTGACTGACACAGTCAGTAATTTCTTTAAGACATAAAGTGCACAGAATAAACATCTATATTAAGTGCAAGGTGTATAAAATGAATGGAATTGAGCCAGCACAGCTATTGCAAGACTAAGACAAACAAGCCAAGACCCATCAGTCATGTATTAGGTTTCATCAGTAATCTTTCTTTTTCTATTAACCCTAACTCTATTTCTGAGAACCATATTCAGAGGTTGTTCTGTCATTTGGAAATAACAACTGCATGCCTAGCCAGGCAGACATACTGACATGTTTTTGGCCTTACAAAATAACTGAGAAGACTCTTCCATTAACACAAAACCAATGTCAATAGCAGTAGTAGCTTTGATTTGTCTGTTTACAAAGATGAGTCAGAAGATACGCCAATTTCGCCCCAGTTGTTGCACTGCAACCATGACCTTAAACTAAACTGAAGCATGTTATGAAGGCTCTCAACAGCTACAAAGAACACAAAATCGGATATTTCAGGTTTTCATTGCTGATGAAAGACAGATCTTGGAAAAGTGTGTGGCTTGGTCCAAAGTCAGAACCTCAGGCTCTGCTGCTGGCTGGTTTGCTTTTAGGTATCTTAGAAACAGATGGTCTTGTATGGTAGGAAAACTCTGATTACAACCTAAAGCAATTCTCAAATAGCTCAATCAGACAAATTTTTTTTCACCACCACAAAAAAGTACCGAAATAAGGCAATCTATGAGTCATCGTCACATAGAAAACATAAGTAAAACTGCATTACAGTAATTCATTGCACCTTACTCATCTCAGTTCAAGGGGTAAACTACATTGTGCTGTGAAGACTGCTGAAAAATTCACCAGGCACTTCTATTCATCCATCACCAAGACTACTACATCCAGGAATAACAAACAAGCAAACAAGACAATTTCTCAGACAGTTCATTGCCACTCCACTCACTCAGAACACCACTTCTTCTAAGTCATATCTCTACTAAACCAGTAATCTAAAAGAACCACATGTCTGTGCAGCTGTCCGCTTCCTTTATCCTTCCACCCAATGACAAGGTACATCCTAAACTACAATCATCACTGGACCTCTACACATCACATGTTTACATATTTGTTCATGCATTTATACAGTAGATTCACTTCATGCTGCGTATCAGCATACATGGTCTACCACATCCTGTAATGTGGCTGCAGTTAAGTGAAGATTACATTCTTTCTGTGTATCCTGTGCTATCTCTAGCTCTAATATATGTCATCTGTCACTCCCCTTTACACACTACCAGCAGACAAAGCACACAAATCCAGTACATATATGAAAGTAGAGATAAAATATTAAATATTGGTAAAATATTATTCAAGTGCCCTTAGTTATATGGTTTACCTTAGGTAAAGTACAAAAATACTTGCTTTTAACTGTACTTGAGTATAACAAGTAAAAGTATTGCATGATATTCTGACAATCCAACATTTCTCCCCTTGTGTAATTCTGAAAGCTTGTTAAAGGTACCCAGGCCTAGTTACAGATGCTAGTATGTGACTGAACATTTGGTATTTAGGGAATGTATTTCCAGTATCTTGCAGAAAGCAGTGTAGTAAACAGTAGGGTATTTTACTGTAAAATGTGCTGGAGTGAAAGTAAAAGCCTCAAAAAAAAAAAACAAACACCAACACACACACACACACACACCTTCTAAGCCGCTTATCCTTCTGGGTCGCAGGGGGAGCTGGAGCCTATCCCAGCAATCACTGGGTGGAGGGCCGGACACATCCTGGACAGGTCACCAGTCCATCGCAGGGTGCCTCAAAAAACAGAAAAACTTTATTAAAGTACAGATACTGCAAAAATATAATTAAGTGCAGTAATCAGGGGCAGGTGGCAAAGGGTGGCAGCTGCTATTCCCTCCATTGTAATTGCTATCTTAACACTCCACCACCCAAGAAAATACCATGCAAAATTATATTAAGCACAATGCATTCATACAACCAAAACAGACAACACACACACACACACACACACGCACACTTTCTAAACTGCTTATCCCTCTGGATCGCAGAGGGTGGGGTCTTGAGCGGAAGGCAGGATGCACCCTGGACAGGTCGCCAGTCCATCACAGGGCAGACACACAGACATACACATCCACACATATTCACACCTAGGGGCAATTTAGCGTGTCCAATTAGGCTGACTGCATGTCTTTGGACTGTGGGAGGAAACCGGAGCACCCAGAGGAAACCCACGCGGACACAGGGAGAACATGCACACTCCACACAGAAAGGATGCTTGCTGCCCGGCCGGGAATTAAACCCAGTCCCTTCTTGCTGTGATAGCGCTACCCACTGCGCCACCGTGCCGGCTGCCAAAAACATGCAAAAAAAAAACAAACAAAAAAAAAACAAACAAGTTAAATGAATAATGATAGCTACACTGGAGTTGCATTCATTCATCAGTTAATCTTCACTTGTTCAGCCCTCCAATCACTGCTTAGCAACTGCTGCTATCATGCTTTCAATTCTTTAGTGCCATGTGGAGTGTTGTGTATTTTGTATTTAAAGCTTCAGCTGTGGTCAAAAGATGTGCCCGGGGGACCTGTAAAAACGAGACTGACAGAATAGATTATGCTGTTTTCTACCCATTTACGAAGCCAAAACCAGAAACAAATGTATAAAAAGGTAGTTTATTTTTATTAAAACGAACTGCGTCTTTGGTCTGCAAATTTGGTACTATGGCTATGTCGTAATATGAAAGCAAATGTCTACTTCTATGCATAAAGTCATTAAAGGTAAGATATAAATGCTACATGAACATTGTTTCATGTCCTAGGTTAGGTTTTGAGTTTGCTGTGTTTTCCTCAATATCTCAGGTGTCTGAACTCAGTTATGTCATCTTCACTGGACAAAAGCTGTGCCTGTGGTCAGTGGACACAAGCTTTATAGTGAAGAATGCTGAAGTGTTCGTTTAGATTTATGTAAATCTAGCATTCTCATTCATGTGAAGTCTGGCTATTGTTGG